CTTTTGAAGAGTACTCGTCAGATATTTTGTAGCATGACTCTCTACTTGAGTTTGATGTTTCCTTATGGAAAGACTAAGGGAATGAATGTGGGGGAAGAGTATCACGAAGGAGTTATGCTCTACTTATCCTATCTTATTGGAGCCTGTGATACATCCACAACTTACTACTGGTGATGTTTAACCTCCATCACTTGGTTAAGGTGATATCTGCCAGGTTTCTCTCCTGCAAAGTCTTTTTTCTTTCTTTTTATACTTTATTAGTTAGATGTAGCTGCTTTTCTTTCTCTTCCTTCCTTCCTTCCCTCCCTTTCCTTCTTTCTTTCTAAGAGATGTTTTATTTCCAAACTTATAGGACTTACAAAAGCTACCCTTTTGTTAAAATTCCTAATTTTATTGTATGATGATAGAACACATAGTTTGTATGCAATTGATTCTTTGGAATTCATTGAAGTTTCTTTGCGACTTAATTCATGATTTATTTTTATGAAGGTTTTAAGTATGCTTGAAAAGAGTCTGTTTTCCCCCATGACTTAATTTCTACATCAACGAAACAGGAAGAACCGAAAACACCCAACTCCTTTTATTTGTCTTTTGAAGGTTGCAAAACCAAAGACCACATAGAAAGGCAGAAAAATACATTTGTTCTTTTTTACTCTTTTTGGGGGAAAACTTGCATGGGTCTATCTTGACACAAGTAAACATGCTAGGGGAGAGAGAGAAAAAGGAAAATATTTGTCCTTCTTGAAATTAGATTTGTTACCACTGGGTAACAGGTGCTTAATCCTCTATGGGGGCACAATTCCAGCCTCCAGAGAGGAACTGGCCAGAGCGGAGGAGTTACCACCTGTGAGAGAGATTTTGATCTCTGTTTGGTTCTTTCAAGACCCTCTGTCCTTAGATATTTGTGCAAGTGGAACTGACCCTTTGGTGTGCCAACAAGAAAGCTATATGCTGACGTGGTTTGGTGGTCCTGGAACAGGCTGGTTGATGGCAGTTGCCTAGTCAATCAGAGCCACCCTGATCACTGCAGGAGGCAGCATGGACACCACAGGAAGAAGAATTTGCAGTCAAAGGCTTCATCCTATGGATGCAAGTCAGCCCTCAGGCTGCTGGCCACGAGGATGCCTCGCCCTTGGTGACTGCACTAACTCTTCTCACGCTGCCTCTTGTCCTCATTTCTTCTCTTCTTTGAACCTCATGGAGCTTACTATTGCTCTCCACCTCCTCCTGGACACCATTAGCAAGGCTCACCTGCTGGTTCTAAGATCTCAAACCTTTTTCAAATTTTATCCAAAAAATGTTACATTTTAGAGGGGTGTTTACTGTACTATTTATCTCAACTTTTCTATATGTTGGAAAATTATCAAAGTTTACATTGGAAAAAATACACTTTATTTTTCCTCTCCAAAAAGGTGGTACCGATTGAGTATCCCTGATCCAAAATGCTTGGGATGAGAATGTTTCAGATTAAAAGATTTGGGGGATTTCGGAATGCTTATAGATCTCTTGGGGGATGCGACCCATGCCTACACATGAAATTCATTTGTATTTCATATAGACCTTACACACATAGCCTGAAGATCATTTCATATGACATCTTAAATAATTTTGTGAATGAAACAAAGGTTTGGCTGTGTTTCGACTGTGACCCAGCATGTGCGATCAGGTTTGGAACCTCCCGCTGGTGAGCGCTCAAAAAGTTTCAGCTTCTGGAGCATTTCTGGCTTCACATATGTTGGGATGCTCCATTTATAATCCTCAACCACCAGTGGTGTTGCAGGAGGTCTGCATTTTATCTGGATGAAGATAGAAAATGTTGCTAACACTTGTCCACACAGTAGGGAAACCTTACAGAGAAAAGGACAATTTTACAGCAAAAGAGGTAGAGGGAGGGAGTAAAGAGAGTGACTGGAACTGAAGAGTGGGAGGTGACAACAGGGTGATTTGCCAATATTACTTAGCTGTCATTGGCACCACAGACTCTCATCAGACGGGAGGGTGTGATGTACCAGAAGGAGCATGAAATCAGAGGAGCCTTGTGAGAATTCAAATTTTGCTCTACGTTAGCTGGGAGATTTTGGCTAAAACAATTGGCCACAGTCTTTACATATGCCAAATGCTAACACGATCATGCTTTGCTTAAAGAAGGGTGTACATTCAGAGAAATACACTGTTGTAGGAACAAAATAAGAGTGTATTTCCACAAACCTAGATGGTATAGCCTACTGCATCCCTAGGCTACATGGTATATAGCCTATTGCTCTGACCACTGTCACACACACAGTCCATTATTCATTTTGCAGGGCATGACTGTAATAGTGATGCTTGCCACATATGTAAAAATACTGTCACTAATAGTGTAATGAAAGGGTAGAGTGGCCTAGTAAGACTGTCAAGCGGAAAACATTGTTAGAAGGCTTTGGGGAGGAAGTTACTTTGATTTACTTACAAAGATATTTTCACCTTCCACCAGAGATGCTGGTCGTGCTACTCTTTGGGGGAAATAATGATATTTGAGGAGATTTTATTTTTCTGGACTGTCAACCAATTTTTAGCAGGCATATGACTTTCTGTATATAGCATCTTAAAATTGATTTTAAGATGAATCAATGAATGTATTTACTGGTCAGCCGCCTCATTTCACAAGGGAATTTGAGGAAGGACATTCAGTTTGACATTTTGTCTTGCTTTCCAAATTGAAAATATGGTAGACTGGCCTTCAGCATCAGCCCTTCCTTATTTTTAGTATACTCCCACTCTTAAGTTCCAGTTCCAGTTCTGTGTTTCAGAAGTGGGAAGACTGCAAACTACATGCCCTCGTCACCCTGGTTGCTAATGTTCTGCCTGCAAAATTGCGTGCAGCAGAGTAAGATTTCCGGGTGCTGTTTTGCTGCTGCTGCTGGCAAATACATGTACAGCCGTGGAGACTAAGGTTTTTCTGTGGCAGCGTTCCAATGTCCAGCTCATTGCCTTGATGCTGTTAAAAGGAGCTTGGGGATGAGGAACAGACTCCGTCTTCCTGATTGTGGCCAGGGGAGTGATCCTTGGACTTTCAGCCCTTCTCCAGGCTTACAGTGATTTCGAATGTCTTCAATTCCCTCTAACTAATCCCTTTCTGTTTAGAGCAGCCAGTTAGGTGCAGCAGAAGAATCCTGACAGACTAACTTGGAAACCCTTTGTGGGCAGGAATGCTTGATGCAAAAAAAAAGACTTTTAGTGGAAGGAAACAGACGATAAACAAATGAATCAAGGAAAGTTTGAGTAAGATGGTGATACATGCTATTAATAAACATAAAGCTGGTAAAGGGGGTGAAAAGTGTAGCAGATGAATACAGAGGTGATGCCATTTTTTAAAGACTAATGTAGGGCAGCACCCGTGGCTCAAAGGAGTAGGGCGCTGGCCCTGTATGCCAGAGGTGGCAGGTTCAAACCCAGCCCTGGCCAAAAACTGCAAATAAAATAAAATAAAATAAATATATAAAGACTAATGTAAGGGAAGGCTGACCTCTACTAGGGTAACCTTTGACCTGCCTGTCTATTATGTCAATTATGTGCAAGGCCCTGGTGGAGTTACTGTGTTAAGATGCAATGATCCAATTAATTACTCTTTCTCCTTAATTTTTTAAAAAAATCTGTGTCTTTTTTAAAAGTTTAAAAATATTATTGAGGTCCAAATGTTTTTGTTACATGTATACCTTTTATAATGCTCAAGTTGGGGCTTTTAAGTTCTGTCCATCATCAGAATAGTTCATAGGTAGGTTTTTGCCCCTCACCCTTTTCCTCCCCCTCTTTTTGATTTTGTATGACCTATACATCTCCGTGTGTGTGTGTGTGTGTGTGGTGCATCAATTAGCTTCCAATTATTAGAGGGTACATGTGGTGTTTGTTTTCCCATTCCTGAGCTACTTCATTTAAATAGTCTCCATTTCCATTCAAATTGTGGAAAAAGATATTATTTCATTCCTTTTTAATGACTAATACTGTTAGGTAATTGCCCCAGAAAAGCCCCTCCCCAAAAAGTCCTTGTCCCAGAAAGCCCATCTCCCAGTCCCCAAAACTTATCTCATTACCCTCTAAAAGTTAAAACTTGTGACCTGCCCCTAACAGCTCTTCATTGGTTATTCTACCATTCCATCATCATTCTAAGCCTTCCCTTAACCAAACCTATATAAGAACATGCTTTCTTTCATTCTTTCTCTTCTTCCTTTTTCCTTGGTGCTGCTCTGCAGTCTCCATCCCCCACCAATAAAACCTTTCGTTTAAGCCTTGGTGGTCTGTGAAATCTCTGGGTGGAGTGCCTCTCTTTCAAATACTCCATGGTGTGTATGTATCACACACACACATACTTCAACCACATTTTCTTAATTCACTCATGAATTGTTGGGCACTTAGGTTGATTCAACATCTTTGCAATTGTGAATTGTGCTGCAATAAACACTCAAGTGCAGGTATCTTTTTTGATAAAACGACTTCCTTTCCTTTGGGCTGGGTAGTGGGTCAAATGATAAGCCTACTATGATTTCTTTGAGGCATCTCTATCCTGTTTTCAGTACAGGTTATTCTAACATACAGTCCCATCACAGTATATAAACGTTCTTTTTTCTCTGCATCCAAGCAGGGAGACTTTTTAATTATAGCCATTTTAAAAGGGGTCAGGCGACATCTTCTTTTCTTAAATTTATTTTTTTAAGCCTAGGCAAGCAGGTGGAGTTAAGGTGTTATCTTATTGTAGTTTTAATTTGCATTTCCCTGGTAATTAGTGATGTTTAGCATTTCTTCATATGTTTATTGGCCATTTGTCTATCTTAAAAACCAATTACCTCCTGTGTTGAGATCATCCTAAGCAACGCCGTCTTCTATCTCCAGGCGGTTGCATTGTTTGCCCACTGCAAACATGGCGAAAAAAACTTCATTTTGACCCCTGAGCGGCCAATAAAAAGGCTACGGCACTTCCTGTGTTTGCCCTTAACAAAGATGGCGACACCACTTCCTGTTTAGAGGTTTCGCCTTCAACAAAGATGGTGCTCATGGTACAAGTTTCCTAACAGTCTGGATTCCGGTTGCAGTTTTTAACCCCCCCCTCCCCAAGATACGTGTTTGCAGACGTAAGTAACAGGAGTCCATCTTTTCTCGAAAGTCCCGCTCTGTGGCGTCTGAGACCTGGGCCCTGTGTGGCTTCCCCGCCCCCCAACTTGCAACATTCCAAGCCCCGCCAGGGTTGGGGTAGCGGTGGCAGCGCCGACAGCCGGCCCTCCCTTCGGTCCGCTCTGAAGATCATTCCCAGCAGCCCCTGTTTAGCTGGTCAAGTTGCCCCAGAAGTTGTTGTTCTTCCACTTTGTGATACGACACGGATTTCAGTTGCCGAGGCAGGGGATATTTTTTTAAAGTTCCAACCGGGTGTTCACAGCCAAACGCGGACACCCTCTTCCTCACTTTACAGAGTGCTGCGGGGGTGGGTGGTCGAGCGTCCCCGGCTGTGACTTCCCCCTCCGCCGCCCCTGCCCTTCCCTGCTATTTAACCTTCATTGTCCCCACACAACCACCCAACAGCTCACTGGTGCGGGGGTGGTGGAACTGTGCTTTCAAATCGTGCTACTGACCAGTGCTGGGGTGTGAGATTTTTTTTTTTTTAAAGAAAAAAATCCCATTAAATGTCCCATGCATGTGTGATGGAGATTCCGAATTCTTGGTGGGTGGGAATGGAGTCTGTGACTGTATTGTGTAATATAAGATTTATTGTAGACCAGGTACAGCGCTTAGTATTTTTTTTTTTTTTTGAAGGTGATGGTGTAGAAGACTTTTCTTGGTGAAAAAGATCTTTAAGCTTCCTACCTGTGGTTTCTGCCCCCCACTTCTCTTGCTGATCAGGTTCTGCCAATGTCCATGGTGGAAGGGCAGCTGCCTCCATATTGGGGCGGTTTCTGCGGGGGTGGTAGTGGGGTAGTTCTGACGAAGACAGGGTTAAAATATAACCAGTGTTTCTTCAACATGTTTTTTTTGAGACAGAGCCTCAAGCTGTCCCCCTGGGTAGAGTGCCGTGGCTTCACAGCTCACAGCAACCTCCAACTCCTGGGCTCAAGCGAGTCTCCTGCCTCCGCCTCCCAAGTAGCTGGGACCACAGGC